AAAAGAGAAGAGATAGCCACAGTACCACAGCCCCTACTCCCACGCAGCTGAGTCATGTAAAGGGAACTGAATCAGGCTGAAAACAACGTGCCGACTCTATTTGGGCAACGGTGCCTGTTACCCACAGTTTCATACCTATTACCAGTACCCCCATAACTTTCCTAGCTAGAGTCAGCACTAGCTAGCTAGTTTCAAGATAGTGAATAATGGTAGGATTGTCAAACTCGATACAGTTGTGGCGTCTCCCTGCCAAACAACGGATGTCTACAAAGTGTACCATCCTGTTCTCTTCGCTTTATTGGGAGTATTCAACTCTGGCAGTTTTTGCTTGGTTGGCTCTAATAACAGCTTAAATGTGCCAACCTTACGGTAACCCTTCCTTTCTGGCTACCTTTGTGGTTGCGCCCGACTCGACTCGACTCGACTCAGGATCAATGTCTGGCTCTACTAGCTAGCTAGTGGCTACTTACTTCTCTCCAACTACTAGAGTAGAGATTCATTTCCTCCATGACTTTCATTTCAATCTCATGTGTGTGGTTTACTCTCAGTTTGCTGTCCCACGGTAGTCTCGTCGAATGATGTCGTCTCCTTTATTTTTTGGGGTCAAATCAAGGGAAACTGCGTGGTCTACTACGAGCTAGACTCATACGATTTTAGCAAAGAGTGACTGGATTAAGTAAATTTTACTGAAACAGGTCACCAACCGCCAAATCGCTAAAACACAGGCTTCGGCCTCTGTGGTTACTTTTTGGTTTTGGCATGACTCTTTCATCTCCTCTGTGAGACTCATCAGTGCTGGGCTAAATTATATGTACTTGTGAAACTTTGGATTGTGTCGGCAGGCGCCGTAGATTTCGTTGCGTGTGTTGATCATTGTTTCTGGTGATTCTCGAGAACGTCGAAGTATTTCAAGTCTTTCCTTGTTGCAAAGTTGGCAGTGTCGCGTCCGGAAGGTTTTGACACAGCTGATGGGGTTACCTTGCCATAGAACGCTCACTTGGACGCTGTTCCGCAGGAGCTCTTTGTTTACCGGTTTCATCATTTTGAATTGGTCGGCGAAGTGTTTTGCGAATGAGTCCGTTTTTGGTCATTGTCCATGAGGTCTATGGCGTCTTTGAAGTGTTCGTTGGTTCGAAGTTTGATATTACGTTGGGTTGTGCCTATGTATTCCATGCCGCTGTTTGTGCATTTGATACAGTATAGTACCACCTTGTTTGACTATAGTAGAGACTACAAGGTACACGGTAGCTTAGGAATTGAATCGAATCCATATACTATAGCTACATGTGCCCTGTACATGTAGAATCGAATCATTCAATCATTCAAGTTCGTCATTACAACTAGCTAGCTCGCTGATAGCTAGCAAGTCACCCTGGTGGTGCCTTTGATATTTGTTATAAGCCAATTTTGAGGCTACCGTACCTCTGAGCACAACTTGTCCACCGTGCCGCGTGGCGCCTTCGATAGATGATGCTACCCAGTCATCCACCAGCCAGGTTGCGGTCCGGTTTTCTTTCATTCTAGATCACGCACGCTCAGCCAGCTAAAACCAGCTAGCTAGAGCCGTTGTAGCCAGCAAGTAAGTTGATTCGCTGTAGCTAGTACGGTGACTTGAAATCGGAACATACTCGAGGTGACCAACGTACCAGCTACCGTTAGTAGTAGAGGTACTGCTGCCCTAGCGAGCAAGCAATGCGGGAAACTATGTGTGCAGTGAGACAACACTCCCTAGAAATTTCTTGCTACTACAGACAATGCTGTTGCAACTATAGATTGAGTGACGGAGTCACTTGTAATAAAAGGAATGTGATACGACTGACAACCCACAGCCTGCGCGTTGGATTTCTTTGCCTGCTCTATGCAACGGATTCATACGCAGGCAGAGTTGAACAAGAAACACCAATCTGTTTCAATCACCAGGAAACAATGAATTTCCGACTCCCCTGTGTCTGGCTACGGTACGTTTGTTGTGTGTTCATTGTGTCCAAAGGTACTTTCGCGACCGAAAGGCTTCTAGTTTCCATCCTTCGACACCCTCTTCCTTTCATCAGCTTGCGCACTGAACTTCCTGACAGCTCTTTCCCATCGAACAGACTAAATCCCACCCAGAAAGTCCTCTTGCGAAAATCAGCCACGTCATATTTCCTTGCTTTGTTCCACGCTTTGTCCTTAGTAATCCGCTGCAATTGTGACTGTAATGGAGGTTGGTCTCGTTGCGGCAATGGTGGACGATGTTTCCATGGACGTGTCCGACGACAGGTTTGCATGTAGTTCCGTTTCATCACGAGCCAACGACGGTGTTGTTCGAATAGAGCTGTGGTCCTCCAGAAAGGAGGCCTCATCGTTGCCCCTCATTCCCGGCAAGGCAGAATTTTGGCACTTGTGCCGGTAGCCTCGAGTGTAATAATGCATGGCGACCAGCAGTGACACTAGGAAAAAGGCAGAATGCGAGAGCAGATACCGACAAGTCTCAAAGGCATCATTGCGCCAGTAAATGACATCTTCTGCCTTTGGCATGTTGACCAGAGTTGCATTGCTGTTGTTGAGTGTTATGTTGATCAGTGTCGCATTCAATGCGGCAATTGTCTCCCCCATAGTCGAGTTGTTGTCGTGTTCATGCAGTGCCGCGGCTGTTTGCTCATGTTGTTTGGGATCCTCGTGGGATCGAGCCATCATCATGCGCATCACCAAGGGTCGATCATCGGAATCAAATGGGATCACTACAGCAAGAACCCAAATACAGAGCCCCGTGAGCAAGCGTGCGAGTCCCGAACAGACGGAGGAGATCCATTCGGACGGCCGCATGGCAATGTGTCCCAGCTTGGCGAGACCATTGAGAATATGTTGTGGAGCATTTCCAATGTGATGATAGAGAGAAGCGCAAGCTCCCTTTCCATGACCCACCAAACTAATGGCTGTTTCGAGCAATTCTCGCAACATGCGGAACCATGCCTCCAGGAGCGCCTTGCAGATGCTAAGTGCCACAATTCCTCCCGAGAGTGCCGCAACAACAACATGTACCTTTTCTCGGTAGAATTCCTTGACTTTGGGACCCGTCTTTTTTCCAACCTCAATGGACTCAAAGGCGTAAATGAGTGAAATATCGCAGAGTGCGAAATGGATCAGCGAGCAGGTACTGATGTGACAAAACGTGCCCCAGTCTTTGAGTACAATAATGTACCACGGCACTTGACTATTGTCGAGAAAGAGTTGTTGGGGCAACACTCTGGGTCCCAGTATATCGGCGTGTAGACTGATAAATAGCAGTGCCATCAGTGACGTGACCACTGCCACTCGTTGTTCCCATGTATGTTGATGAAGTGCTTTCATGGTTTGTTGGACGATTCGTTGTGTGTAGACCATTGGTCGTCTGCTTTTACTGTGGCGTCTTCGTCTTGGCAATGGTTTTGGAACGAGAATTTCATCCTCCAGTGTTACTGAAGTAACTATTTGAGTTTCTGGGATTGATGGCATGGCTTTGGATTTGAGCTCACGTTGGCGTTCTTCTTGTTCTTGTTGGAGTTTCTTCCATCGTTTGTACCGTTTGAGTTCTCGCAATCGCTCTTCTTCTTCCTCACTGAATTGCACCGGAGCCAACATGACTCTCAGCTTTTCTTCGGCTAATTGTCGTCGTTCTTCCTTCTTCTCGGCATCCCGACGTTGCTTGTTGCGGAAGTAAGACGTGAACATCCCTTTGCTCTTTCCGCTCTGACTGCCCGACTTGGAGGAACGAGAAGACTTGGAAGACTTGTTGTACTCCATTCTCAATTCAGACATTGTTTTCTTACTTCCCACCTAACCAGAACTATACCAGGCTGCCGTATACTATAAGCCAGGCACTGTGTCAGCTCCCTGTTACCAAGGAGGCCATGGGAGGTCCGTCGTCGATTGAATGTCTGTTTGCTTTGTGAATGGCGAGAGAGGTGTTCTCGGTGCTGCTAATCGAAATAAGCCAACAGAGTGATTTTCTGAAACGCTGACATCAGCGTCGACAACCTGAGTGATAACTCTCTCGAGACCCGGATAACTCTTTGTACTGTTACGGTACAGTAGGGTTGGAGGTGAACGAGTTTGGGATTTCTCAAGAGTCATCGGTCATCTTCTAGTGTGTTCTTCCGGTCATTTGAAAAACCACGCAAATCACGCACTAGCTAGAGCTAGTAGACTATGAATAGCCATAGCAAGTCGCTAGTAGTAGCAAATACATGTAGGTCTCATTTCAACTAATGTTGCCTTTGATAGATGATGCTACCGAGCCAGTGATCCACCAGCCAGAATCAGTTCGGTTCGTTACACGGAGAGGGGGTTCAAAGAGCTGTTCAAAGTAGAGTAGTCTAGGGAGGTTATCCGCGGAAGCCAGTGGCTGAGGGAGTGGAAGACCAGTACAGGTACTAGCTACGGTAGCTAGAACCTACTAGGTGGCTTTGGTGGCATCATGGTGTGAGATAAATTGAGGAGTTTCATCTCAGGTCACGCGTCACGCACCCTCATCAGCTAAAGCCATTTGTCGGGTGGGAATGCCCTGACCCTTGGGGTCCGTCGGCGGGTCTGCAAAGGCCTCTCGACTGAATGATTCTGATTATTTGCGGGGGTTTTGTAGCCAGGATGACTGAAAATGGGAACAACACACTCTTGGTGACCAACGTACTAGCTAGTACCCGCCACTGGAGTACTAGTCTAGCCAGCCAGTGCCGCCCAAGAAGCAAACAAAATTTAATGCTATTATTACTTTAGCTTGAGCTTCCATACTAGCTACTCTCTAGTATAAGGTACCAGCATCAAAAGCTTACTAGTACTACTCCGTCATCCTCAACGACACGAGACCTTCACGATTTAGGTTGTTGTTGTACGGGCCAACAAGAAGACGAATGAAGCTCTTGATAAGACTATTGCAGGAAACCAGTAAGATGGTCGCCGCGTTGTGAGATAGGAGGAGTGACTAGCTTTAGTGGAAATAAGATTCGAGCTAGCTAGTGAGAATGTTCGAGTGGGATCCTGGTGGTCGTTGTGAGTCGATTGATTCGAGTCACAGACGATGTACTAGGTACATGTACCAGTTGCTGCCAAAGTAAGTGAAAGGAGACCGTTGACTGCGGATGCTCTTGCGGACCGAATTTTTGAACTCGTGTGGGGCGTGTAAGAATCTGGCAAGTAAAATTGACTCGACTCGACTACTCGGCTAGCCATTGGTACCATACCGTACCACAACAACAAACATCACAAACAACTGGCAACGATAATATCACCCCCATAATCTTTCGATCTAATAATACTACCGGCTAGTTGGAGCAACAAAAATCTTCACCAGGTCCAACCAGCTTTCCCACAAGTCTTCTCACAATTCTCGATCTTCTGTGAAAGAACAACAAGTAAGTTTTCTTGCCCACGCCTCTATCTTCCCTCTCCTTTCCTTCCTTCCTTCTATCAATCACTGATCAAGATGGTTACCCCGACGCAAGAGCTATTCAAAGACTATGTCAATACTCCAGCCTACCAAATGATATCCAAGTCTCAATCCTTCCAAAACTATGTGCATTCTTATTCGGCATATACCCCCCAGAAGATCCTTCAAACGAGAAAGTCATTGGGCGTGCCAAAGCAAACTGGACGGGGCCGCAAGAAGGAGCCCTGTGATACAGCCAAGAGACTTACCGCCATGAAACTCAAGCAATCTCGTGGAGACACCGCCACCAAGTTGGAAGTGGATCGATTGGTCCAAAAGAATGTTCTTTTGACTGCCAATGCCAATACTAGTGTCTGGACGAAACCGTCATTTCCCACTTCCTACAACAGCAAAGCCCGGAGGCGTCTTGTCATTGATGAGTCGTCGTCCAGTTGTGAACGAGAAGAAGGATCAATGGATACTACTGGTACGGTTATTAGCGAAGCAAAGCCGGAAGAGATTGTCCAACAAGTGGATGTCAACTCATGGAAGGCGGCAACGACAACTTTGGACCTGAGCATTGCATACGCAAGCTCACAAGAAACTGCCCAAGATGATACTCCTCCTTACAAGCAGACGGAATGGACCAATGCTAGTAGAAAAGACAATCAACTTCGGGGGTCGCTGATGGGGCTTGACTCCAGTCCCACTCTACAGTACAACTTCCGAAGGCAACGAGCACCAGTGCCAACTCCAGCAACGCGCTTTCCGTAATCCAGCCAGCCTCATATATCTACACCAATCAAGACGATTCTCGTTGCAGTCGGGAGGAATGCATCAGGGACTACGCAGCTTACTGAAACGAAAGAACCAGTGGACATGCCAACAAGTTAGCCAACTGGTATTCTTCCATGGGATAGTGCCGTGCACAAGAAGCGTCATCTCTCCGTGACGTGCGCTGAACAAGTAAAGGGACCAAGGGAAGACTTGGGACAGCATACACATACATTTGCTTGCTGCTAGATAAGAAACACAATGTACCAGTATAGAAGACTGTTGATTAAACTAGACACTGACTTACTTCAGTATTCGTCTCTAGCTAGTAGCACTCCTAAAAACTTTTTAGTGACTCTTCTCTGATGATCCGTCCCTGGCTACCTGTACTCCAACACCTTGGTCCATTCCAGGCCGCGCGTACTCATGTTTCATCTCCCGGGCGCGACCGACTCCTGATCCAAGTTATTCCATGGCCTGCCTAGGGTTCTCTTGGCAAAGCCAACTCAAGCAAGGACCAACACTCAGGCCCACTGCCAAAACACGACAGGCAGGAGTGACCCACTCCTGGATCAACTTCCGATCCATCTGCATGGTCCACGCAAGACAAGGCCAACAAGAAACCCAACTTGTTCAGGATCACCATCTTCCACGCTGCCCCAACTGGGAATGCACCCCATACCAGGCGTGACACCAGTACCTACGTCTAGCTAGCACCTACATCTAGCTTCGCACCTGCACAAGAACCTATTCGGTGGTGCACCAAACTTTGGCCAACACGCAGTTACTGACTGCAACGCACATGCTGCCTGCAATTCCAGATAGCTACAGCGGCATCCTACTAAGACAGAAGCATGGCTGACTTTCATACTTTACTATCATGATCCACGCAAGGCAGAGCCAGGAAGAGGCTCAACTTCAGATCACCATGTTCCACTCCTGGACATGGCAGGCATGGGAGCCCAACAGCCTTTGGCATTCACTCCAGTCGCACAAGGACAAGGCCTCCAACGTCCCAATGACATGTCTCGCATGTTCCCAGAAGGCGTCGCCTCTCAAGATAATTTCGATGCCCAGGACGGTGGCTTCCTTGGCGGCAGAAGCAAGTCAAAGTCGAAGCCCCGTTGGACACGGCATGAGGGATCCCACAAACTTCAAGAACATGGAATTCAAGCCAGTCTCCATGTCCGAGATGGGACCTGGTGGCATGGGCTCCCAAATGATGTCTCAAATGGGAGGCCAAGGCAACCACATGGGCGGAAACATGATGGGAGGTCAAATGGGCCCAGGTATGATGGGCGGAAACATGATGGGAGGACAAATGATGGGCGGTCTACCGTACGTCTAGCTGGCTAGCACCGGGACAAGAAGCAACGCGATGCCCCACACTTCGGCCAGCGAACGTGTTCCCAGAGCAATTCCAGATACAGCAGCATCCCACTAAAACATGGCCATAACTTTTAATACTTTGTTCGTTGCTACTATGATTACTTTGTTAAGTTTGTTTTTTCAATATGCACTAGTTTCTGATAATATTAACTGATTTGATTTGATTGATTCTCTGGACCGAACGGGGTTTGTCAACAACAACGGAGGGAGCTCCAAAACGGAATGGCTTGCCGTGAGCAGCCTCTCCATTGCTTCGGTTCGATCTTTTTCTTGGTATTATAAGTGGTAATGTCCATTCTGGCGTGGCATTCTATTGACCACGAGGACAAATGAGTCAAGTCTTGTGGCTGCCATCCTTGGCCTCCCCCAGGAGGACGCAGCAGCAGCGTGCCGTGTGTCCTTTCCATCCCTGGTTTAGTAATCGGTAGTACCTGTAGACTTGTTTACTCGGCGCACTCATCCCCCAGATTGAATGCATTGGCAGTGGAGGAATCTTGCATTTCACCGGCAAACGATCGTTCGTGTTCCGATGCATCGTCAAACCAATTATTGCCCAAACTTCCAGTCGACTCGTGATTGTCCGCTGAATCCTTGTTGTTGTTATCCATTAACGACGACAGGGTCTGCTTGGCGGGCTTGGGGGACAGCGACAGCGATGTATGGGTACTGCCATTGAGTGACGCTTGTGCGGAATTTCTCTTTTCCAACCACATGTCAAAGGTCGAACTGTGGCTACTGGATTCGTCCATTTCCTTGATCCAGTCTCCGTCTCGTCGTCGCAGCCAGGACGATTGCAGAGCTTGTCGTGCGGTGGCTCGTTTCTTGGGATTGACGACCAGCAAACTTTCAATGAGATCTTTGGGATAATCTTCGACATCGTGCCAGTAGTCTTCGTGGAACTCGTAATCGGCGGTGCAAATCATATCCAACAATTCGTGTTCATCCTCCGACTCAAAGGGGGCGTATCCGCCCAGAATGATGTAGAGCACAACCCCGACGGACCACAAGTCGCACTGACAACTGTATCCTTCTCCTTCCGGTCTGGCATCACCGACCACTTCGGGTGCCACGTACTGCGGACTCCCACAGAGCGTCACCATTTCCTTGGGGTCCTTCCATCGTTTGGCACACCCAAAGTCGGCCAACTTGATGACGGTAATGTCGTCCGCTCTGGGCAACAGAATGTTCTCGGGCTTGATGTCCCTGTGAGCAATCTTGCGTTTGTGACAGTAGGCGACCGCTTCCAAGAGCGTCCGTGCCACCTTGCGGGCTTCCCATTCTTCATAGACTTCAATCTCTCCCAACTTGTCGAGCAAATCACCACCCTTCATTTCTTCCATGACCAAAAACGTGCGATCGGGTTCGTCAAAGACATCCAAGAGACGAACGAAATGAGGGGATTCCTTGACACGCCGCAGTGCCGCAATTTCATCCTTGATTTCATCTCCCTTGGTCGTTTCCTTCTTGAGACATTCCTTGACGGCGTATGTGTGATTGTTCTGTAAGTGTTGACATTGATACACGAAAGCGAAACCACCTTCTCCCAGTACGGAACCCATATCATAGACTTCCTCAAATGTCTTGTTGGAAGCACTGTCATTGACACTAAACGACAGCTGCGATAACGAATCTTGTCCTTTGACATACTCCAGAAACTCATCTTGAATGGGTTTCAGCGTCGACACCACGTTGGTGTCTACCATGGTACTGGAACTACTCCCCTCCAAGTCTTCAAATATACTCTTGCCAGTGGCTCCTCCTTCCAATTCAAAAGGCAGTCGCAGGGACTCGCGCATATCACTGGCCATGGTCATCTTCTTTATTGTTGGATTGATTAGTAACTGTTGTTGTGTGTGGGTATAGTATAGATAATGAGGGTAGCAGATAATGAGGGTATCTGGCAGGTTAATGGATGATGGGTAGGTAGATGATGGGTAGGTATCTGGCGGGATAATGGATGATGGGTAGCAGGGGTATCCGTGATAGAATGAATGAATGAGGGGTATCAGGTCTTGGTGTTGGTTGCGGGATAACAGAACCGTACTAGATAGATGATAGGTCGATCAAGGGGAAGTGGTGGCGTAAGGTTGGTGTGTCGGATGTGTGGCTGCTTTGATACCTCGACTTGACTATGCTAAACTTGTTTGTATGCACTCACACTTCTTGGAACATGCGCTACTAGTATGAACACCAACAGACATCAACTAAAGATAACAATCAACTTGACGGAACCACAAAGTATGGGAGCTCCTGTTGTCTTTTCTCTTTCGTTGCAGGTTGCAGACTATCAATGACTTGAGTGATTGAGGAGTGACGGTGATAGCGGCGAGGATGCCTTTGACGGATACTGGGGATGAAAGCGGAAGAGAACCAAAAGCCACAGGATGAGAGAATGATGCGAGGTGCTGTACTGGTAGGTAGGTGGTGGTTAGGTTTAGTCGGTTATTAGTTAGTAGTGCATCGACCGCGAGTCTGCACTTACTTGAGCCAGTAGCTAAAAGTCGTCCGAAGTTTATCGTGAGAGTGTGAGACGCCATAAGAGATGCTTTCCTATGAACAGCAACAGCCATTCGCAGCAAGCACTTTTGGCCTCCGAACAGATCACTCTTGACTATCCAACTTTAGTAGTAGAAACAGGAAATAATCACAATGGTATTCACGAAACCCAAGCACCGAACAGCCAACACTATACAGAAACCTGTACCTAAATGTGAATTCGAAGGACCGGTACTAGTAAATAGGATAAGAAGGGGGAGAGGCTATACTCCTGGAGTAGTGAGATGCTCGCCCAAACTCAAGGCAATTCAAACATTCAGGTGCATCAGCCAACGAGGGCTTTAGTAGTCTAGAATGAAAGGGGGAAATTTTGAACCGACGGTACACGGTACCGGTGAGAATGCAACTAACCGTGCATGCACTAAAGTCGGTGCACGTGATGTTATGATGGCAATGTGCAACGTGCAATACGATCATCACGATGTCATGTAATGATGGAAGAATGACGTCCACATTGTCACCGGTAGTTTTGTCCCTTGCCATGCCGAAAGCGCAACATGAGCTTGGTCAAGCAGGTCGCAGATTGCATGGCCATACTAGTAGACTGAGATGATGGACTGGACTACGGTACTGGCTGGCCGGAACGCGGGTCGGCAGCTGATGATCATTGAAAATTAATTGAGGGGTGCCGTGCTAATGTGGTGGCTGACCAGCTGAATAGCTAGCTACCGGTACGGGTATCACTAAAGAACAGCTAGTCTAGTTACACCCATTATTAGCTGAGTGGGAGCCCAATAGACTCTGACTCTGATCCCTGAGTTCAGAGAGGTGAGAAAATTTGATTTGGTTGTACTGTACTGGTACTAGTATGTTGGACTGCGGGAGACATGAGGAGGTTGCTCCATACATGCAGTAACCTGATCCAACGTCTGCGTGCACTGGTTCCTGGCTCCCACCCCCAAAACACAATCTGCCCCCACATGAACACCTGAAGTGTCTATCCGTTGCACCTCCATCGTTGATATAGCAACCGTGACAAAAAATGAGGGATCAATAAGTGGTGCTTGCTCCAAGACTGAAACCTCTTTCTTATTCATCGACTTGACGCCCTAAATCTTCCTGGTGGAAAATATTTTTATCAAAACATATGCCTTACGGACGTCGCGTTTTTCTATGGAAGAACCTGTGGGGCTGCGATTAAAAGCGAACAGCTCGTTAGATGGACGTTATTTAATCGTGAACTATACCTGGCAGGGAGGGGTAGCCTGTATGGAGGGTTGAAGATGTGTGAGCTGCTGTCCGCTGAACTGCCCTTTGGGAAACAGCTGCACCAAACAGGACTCGGGACGCTTCGACTCATTGGACTAAAACGAAGCACCCACACTTGATCACTAATTTAGAAAAACAGCAAGCCTGCTTATTCAGCGGTACTGACGAGACTGTGGGGAATTCGTGTCCTCCTTTTCCGACTTCCTCTCTCTGAATATTGTACTGTAGCCTCAAGGTCTAAAAGTGGGTCCTCGTGATGGCCAAGGTGTCGTTCCGAACTGCTGCCCAGAAATGGTGTTGATCCAGGACTGGGGCCTGGTGTTGGCTCTGTAGTTGGGCCTTGTGTTGGTCCTAGAGTGGTTCATCCTATTGGATCAGCAGTTGGTCCGTGAGTAGGGCAGGGGAGGGGGCTGGCTGGTGTGGGTCTGGCGTTAGGTGGAGCTGGCCCTTGTTCACTGCCAGCATCAGCCAGGTCTTGGTGTAGTGCCAGATTCTTTTACGAGGTGAACCAGGAGTGGAGCCTGGGTGGTCTCTTGGGTTGTTCCTGGAGCTTAGCCTCGCATTTGGTCTCAGTGTAATGCCTGGGAAAGTCCCAGAGTGGTTCATCAAGACTCAGCTAGGCCAGTAGTTGATCCAGCAACGAGGCCTTGGAGGCCTTGGAGGGAGGCCTTTGGGCAAGGGCATTCTCCTCTGGGAGAGGGTCCTGGAAACCAGTTTGTTTGTCTAGTAGGAGAGTGGGGGTGTAATGGATCTACTATTGGGCCTGAACTTAGCCATTGCATTAGTCCTACCGTAACACTGTTTAATCTTAACCTGAAACTCCCAAAAGAGACTCCCGATACTTGCGAAGCTGCACAGCCTTGGCTGTTGCCCCCCAGTCATCATAGACTCGACATGCCTCGTCAAAAACCAGTAAGGCAGCATCGGAATCGCCCTTCTCCAGAATGTACATTGCCAAGCGTTCATTCCCCATCGCTTCAATTCCTAGATGCCCATGGCTCCGAGCGTGGAGAATTCCAGATCTGCTATGTAAACAGGCATTGTCGAGATCACCAAGTACCGCGGCGAGTTCAGCTTTGAGCAAGCACAACTTGTCCTGAAGATTATCAGGTGCAAGATAAGTCCACTTTTTCAACTTCCTTAGGCGGCGCTTGACGTATGGCACATAGCGAAGGCGATTGAAGGCGCTTTTCTTGGCGTGGGCAAGCAGGACCATACATTCGACGAATAGCACCAGCCCTGCTCCGGTCGAGTTGTATCCATGCTTCGTGTAGAGAGCATCAATTCCCTTCGAATACTTCAATGCCTGGTCGAACTCGCCGTACATGTAAGCTGGTGACATTCGAGAATATTGCAGCCACAGAACCGCTGCCTGGTTGGAATTCGCTTGGAACTTGCGACTTTCCACTTCAAAAGCCTCGACGCTCGCTTGATGTTGTTGTTCATCGCCCATCCCTTCCTCAAACCTTGAAATGCACTGTGTGACGGGTAGAATCGACGCCAAAGCCAATGTATGACCAGTCTGCTCCATTTCTGTAGTTAATTTACGAATCTCTTCCTTTAGCTCGGGCAACCGGAGCGAGTGACCAGCATGGTATATGTAAATCATCCCATTCAGCTGTAGCATTGTGAGATATCGATCGAGGAACAAAGGCTTGATTAGGAAATGAACTCACCATGGCATACTCCATATCGCCCGTTCTCATTCCCACCCTCTTTGCATGGCGAAGGGGCTCTAACGATTTCGCCAGCGCCTCGCGTGTGGGGCTGACAAGACCATAGTACACGCCCCAAACTCTGCAAAGCCAAGCTTCATTCTTGCACTTTTCGTACAATTGCATTCCTAGTTTTCCGTAACGGATCCCGTCTTCTACGGAAGGGCCACTTTTCAAGCAGCACACAACATTGATGTGAGCAAAGCGGCGAACAGAGCACCCTCACGTGGTGGTTGAGGACTTACCAAACTAACAACTCCGCGTAGAAGCAGAAGGCCACTGAGGACAATCCTGAAATACCATATTCCATGGTGAGTTGGACCATTCGTAGGCTAACCAAAACCCCCAAGTATGGCTTCGCATAGAAAGCATACAAGAACATGTGATTCAAAATGCTCATTTTGGCCAAAGCATTTCGGTCTGTCATTCTTTTCATCCTCAGGATAGATTCGTCGGAGAGACCATGAAGCAGTTTCTTTGTCTTTCTGACTGATGTTGCAACGGATAGGGATGTTGGATCAGAGGGCAATCTCTCACCCAGCTCCTTCAAGGTACTCAGGGCAACGTCAAGGGCCTCTGCCAAGTGATGTCTGCTGCCGAGTGCGAATATCTTAGTCGAGCGAGCAATGAGTGAGTCGTCAAAAACTCGACTATGCTCCAAAATTGCCTCAATCAAATCATCCAAAATCTGAAACTGGGCATTGCAGTAGCTGGGTCAACACGAAAAAGTAAACAACAGCAGAACAACAAGGCTTAGCTTCATTCTGTTCAGCCAGCTCGCCCAAGCCATTTCGCAGTGCTTACCACACTTCGACGGCCGCGTTATGCAACCTCAAACTCAGATCATAGTTGTCTCGACCCCACAGCTTGTCTTTTGGCAAGATCGAAATGCCATGTTCCAGATAAACCCATGCAGTGTGAAAGCCGAGGGTCTTCGCCGCCAACTCGCCCGCCCGAAGGCAAAGCCCGGCAACAGCGCGACGATCATCGTCCGCTTTGACCTCGCTGTCACCTAGCATGAGCTGGTTCAAGAGAATAAACAAGAACTCTTTGTCCTTTCTTTCTTCGAGGTGTTTCCACAGCTTTTGCGCGATACACAAGTGGTAACTTGCCCTTTCTTCGGACGGTATCATGCTGTAAATCTTGTGCTGGACACCATCAATTGAGAAATGATAGGAGTCGTCCCGGTTCCGCAAAAGCCCAACTTCAGTCGCTTCGCTTAGATGCGACGCAACATTTTCGGGATCCATGAGTGTCAAGAGAGACATGTCAATTGTGGATGACCCCAGGCACGCGGCATACTTGAGAGTTTTTTGCGCCTCCTTTGAGAATCTGCTGATTTTTAGTCGAAGCATATCCGAGAACGATTCAGCCTGGCTGAAGTGGCAACTCATCGACGACATGTCAAACGTCCACTCTCCCGTTGTTTCGTCAGTGCGGAGGAATCCGTGGTCCTGCATTTTCCGCAAGAACTCCTGAAGCAACATTGGATTCCCTTTTGAAATTCGGTACATCATTTTGCTAAGCTCCAGGACCTTTTCGTATCCACAATCCAGCGTGTCCACCAAAAAGTCTCGAACGTCGCATTCTGTCATATTTTGTAGGGTGATGGTGTGCAAATCCACTGTCCGTCTGGAAGCAAGAACTTCCATGGCAGGCTTGAAGTATGGTTTGGCTTCCTGATCGTCGCACAAACTTGCCACAAAGATGATGCCACCACTACTAGAACCGCAACTGTTAGAGGAAGGGACCCCAACGTCGGCAATCAAAGTTGTCAAGATATCAAGGGATATTTCACTGGCCCAATGAAGGTCATTCAGAAGAACCACCAGCGGGTTTTGAGGCGCTAGGGATGCAATTGTTTGGAGCAACAAGACAAAGTACCCCTTGACCTTTTGTGTCATGAGGGCTCCCGACGAGTTACTGCTTTTTGATTCGAGAGTGCCAGGTCGTTTCGCATCATGGCACTCAGGAAAGACAACGTGACCAAGAGCTGGAATCAAATTCAGGAGCACATCCACATCCTCTTGAAAGGAGTCCATGATGGCTTCTCGACACTGTTCCACAATCAAATGGTCATCACACCGTATCAGTTGGCGACAGAAATCATTGAATACATCCAGAAAACACTGGTACGGATTGGGGTTCATGAGTTGCTCAAACTTGGCTTCGAGAAAAAACGATGGCTTGACATTGAGATCAGGCTGTTGATCATCGTCGTCGGTCAGTGCCATGGGATTCTTCAAGGTACGTGCCAATGCAGTCTTGCCCACACCCAGCGAACCTACCAGCAATTGATTAACGAGGCAATCAGTGCGTGTGAGTCACAATGAGGAAAAACCCATAACATCTATCTTTGAAACGGATCTGGTGCCAGTGGACGAATCGCTCCTGTGCCTCAGCCGATGCCTTGGACTACCCCCCAAGCCAAAGCAAGGGGTTGATCTCACAGAGAGGCAGCCAAGGGCATCCTCATGGGCAGCTCACTTCCAAGGGGAGGTGATCTCTCCATTTACAAAAGGCAATTGCCAATCCAACTGAGCATCTTCATGTATTTCACGTACCTTGAATCAAGACAAAATCCACTTTTCTCTCTTGCACTTTTGTGTTGTTGGTGACACTGCCACTGGTTTCAGATAGAGAGGAACTAGTTCTTCGTCCGCATCTGGCCAGAGAGGGCGGCCGCTGTGGTTTCTGTTTCATTTGGCGTTTGAGAATGCCCAGCAACTGATCTCGTTCCTTCCAACGGCCATAGACGCGGCCCTGCACATTTCCGGCGTGCAATTGGGCGGATATTCTTCGGCTAGCTAGTCTCGATGGTTTGACAATGCGTGGAATGGGCGGTAGATTGGCCTTGTGGGAAGGAGCGGGCATTCGGAGGGGTGCCGGAAGGGACCTTGGCACAGACCTAGGAACAGGTCTATCTGATTCCTGTCGTTCCATAGTCAATGGTGCAGATGATTCTGCAGTTGTACCAGGATTGTTAGTGTCCTGATCACCACCACAGCATTGTTCCTTGTCTTCCAAGCTACTGGTAGCAGAAGCGGTGGGGGTAGCCGTGGCTACAGTAGCACTATCGACTGTGGGAGCCTCCGATTTGGTTTCGTCGTCTGCTTGGCTGCCACTGCTGCTTTCACGAGATGAGGAAAGCTGCTTCAGTGCCTTGCTAATCCGCGAGCGAGCCTCCTTATCTCCCACATCCTTCCAGAGCGGTGGGGCGTTGCTGTCCTCTGCTGTCGACTGGGCCATCAAGAACCTTCCGGGAGGAACTTGGGTCCGCCATTGTCTCAGCAACTCCAGAGCCACAAGTGGCTTCTCCATCGGACTCTTGGATACATAATCGCCATGACGTTCCTTGAGCAGCTCCAGAAAGCGTAGGTTGCCTTCGTAGCATTGGCCATTGTCCTGCTCTGCTTCCGCGGGACTAAAATAGTGGGCCACAATCCCCTTGGTCTTCTTCTTCAACAAAACATCGTTGCTTTCATGGGGTTCACAGATATTTTGCAGCGGCCAATCTGACATCTTGCTACAACAAATGGAGTGGTGTGCAGCCAATACCACCTTTCCTCAATGGTCGATCTGTCTGTCCACGGTACTGTTGGGCTACTATGCTTTCCCTTTGCTGTTGTTTGAAGGTGATGGGTTCAATGGGTGCGAGTGGAAGGAGTGTTCTTTGGTGGAGGACTCAATGCGACCGTGACTTGACTGGACTCTGGGAGCCTCTTGGAACGAGAAAAGCTTGATTGCCGAGATGCAATACGGTAGAGAACAGGTTAAAATGGAATTAAGCCTTAACCCTGTTAGCGAGAACAAAACTTTGACGTGAGTGTCCACCCGTTTGAACTTTCTTCCTTCCCAGCTCTCTCAGAGGTTCCAATAGCCTTGCTGATGATTGCTGACTGGCCGTGTGGCACGGCGATTGAAGAGTCGAGTACCAGTACCTGGTACTAGCTAGTACTCAGTGGGGGCTGTGTTTTGGCTTTCCGATGGGACCTGGGCTGCGATGCTGGGCAGGTCCTGGGCCAACCAGTTGTTGCGTAGCTACACCGTGTGGAATCATGGAGCTAGGCTGAGGTCTAGGAGTGATCTCGATTGTGGTGTTGACCATAGACTCACTCGACTCGGAGCGTTGGGCAGGCAGAAATCCAGGATATTGGATTGTGGTAAAGGAATCTCTACTAAGCCAGTTTTGTCTGTAGACTACTTCGCGCTCTCTTTCATTGCTTATTTGAGTTGGTCCAGTGTCAGCCAAAGGCTGAAGCTTGGGCTGAGCTACGTACTACTACCCAGCTGCTACATGTAGCTGCCCTAGCTAGCTTGCTTTCTCCGAGTACTACTCTGGGAGCTAGTCTAGCTAGTAGACTATCAAACCACTGGTTGTAATGCTCAATGAGAGGCGTGGGTCAAACACAGTTTCATTGGGCCTTCTGACTGAAAATACAAAATACTACTCCAGAGTAGTCTACATGGAAATGTAGACTTCAACTGGAAGATCTGAACTAGCCAGCCAGCCACTCGGGAGCAGTTCAATTTGTCTAGACAAGTTTCAATTTGCAACACCTGTAATTGGTGGTTGGTGGGTCCCTAGCTAGCTACCAAGCTAGACTAGCTAGCTAGTCTCAATACTCTATATTTATTTGTTTGTCTATTTGTTTGAGCGTTCTTCAATTCATTCAATTACAAAAAGTGACTATGGTAAACATCTTCGATTTAATTCCTGTCACCTGTCTTTTATTAATTCCTTTCAACTCTAGTCAGGCTGCTGTAGCTACTGAGTACTCCGAGTAATGTGTTTCTGAATCCTCTGCGCAAATCACTGCTTCTTGTTTGTCAAGAGCATTTCCGTGTTTATCAACCGAACTGTAAGAAATGCTTGCGAACTCTCTTTCGGCGAACCCGGGGAACACATCAATATCTGCGACAAATGCGATATTGGCTGCAACCCTGCAACCGCAGTGTCGGTACTACTACATTTAAACATCCCGTAAGGATTCTATTCACCTTCTGGCTCAATCGCCATTATGAATAAAAGGGGCAAGATTCCAATAATAATCGGTATCTACAGCTAATCTCCACGTACCGGTATGGCCTGCTATGGCCAGCTGCTGCTTGCAGTTCGAAGATTTCTTCTCTGGTTCGATTCATTCGATTCCAGCTGTCCACATCAAAGCTAAACCTATTTTTAAGAATCTTACCTCGTGAATGAGCCAGGACAACTCCAAAAAAAAATGGGCAAAATTTATCAAGAATGAGCTCAAAATGATAGGAACAGCATTGTTACTGAGCTGAGGTTTGGCTACTAACTAGCCAGAAAGAAAAGGTGCAGGTACTGACACACCAAATAGTAACAAGTGGAGGCTATATAAAACCCTTCGAAAGGAGTACTTCAAAACATCAGTCATTTGAATTTTTTCCTGCCTCTACAGCAGCACCACTTGGTGAATTCCAAAAAGGAGAGCTGGGACAGCAATTGACCCATGGCCCCACCAAGTCTGAGAGGATGTCCTTCGCAACCTGGATTTGCTGTTAATAAGCTGCTCTAAGTGATATTTGCCAGTAGCTAGCAGTAGGGTAAGAAAGAAACTGAGCGTCCAGTCAACTCATATTATCTTATGATCCAGGGCAAAGCGTATAGTTTTCAATGGCATGGGTGAAGAAGCCACCTACTCAATTCGTACTCTCGCTAGTGATAAATGCTAGTTCCTTTTCGGACTTTGGTGGATGTAACGTTGGTGAGTTGGTGAACTTTTTCTTCAGCCCTACCGTAGCGTCCAAGCAGTCAGGCAGTTTCCTTGCGGGTGTGGCAAGTGTCAAAAAAGAATTAAATTTTTAACTCAAGGAAACCCTTCCGTCGGCGTCGTAGATGGCGACAGTGACGGGATTGTGGTTTGAAGTGCATGCTGACAAGTTTTGTTACCGCGGTTGCAACGCACCATGGAGGCAGGAAGGAGGGAAGAAGATGATGATGACGAGCGAAAGCTGCCCCCGGGAAGAAGTGAGTGGAACGAAGGGAAGAGATCCCAGACTTCAAGGCTCGCTCCACAATAGCAGCATCTAGTGCTATCTAGCTCCCAATGTGGGAACAGCGGTGGGATCCACTCCACTGCTCTCTTTCCACCAACCTCACACCTTGTTTGTTGATTTGTAACGCAGAGGATGCTCAGGGGGCTTCCCCATCTCTCCAACCCTCTGAAGGACAGTATGTTGGCACGTGGACCATGGAGGAGAAGAAGTATGTGGAGGCACTGATTGCCGAGTTTCGTGCAGGCAACATCCTAAATCTACCGGAGAAGTCCACCTTGAGAGCCTTCATTGCCAATAAGCTCGGGTGCTCTGAAAAGCGGATCACCAAAAAGTATGAACGAACGGGGTACAATGGCCGTCTCCTGTACACGCACAGACCTGATGACTTTACTCCGGAAGAGTCACAGAGAAGACTCGAAAGACTGGAGGAGCTGGAGGTCGAGTTCCAACAGAGCCGAGCACGTCTACTTGCCATGAACCCTCCCAACTATCATCGTGCCAAGAGAAAGTCGCAAGACCGAGCGGTGTCCCCCCTTCGCCAGAGCCCCGCTCCGCAGCAGTCTTATGCTACCGGAACGACGGCTCAGACTCACCAGGGCGTCGTCTCTTCGAGCAGTGTCGCAAACATTCAACAACGCATTGCTGCTTCTCTCATTGGTGGCGGAGATAGTGCTCAGCAGGTTGCCATGGGCTCGTCCTATGCTGCTGCTCGAGCCCCGCAGGGATTGGATGATACGTTTTCGCCAGCTCTTGCCGTGGCTGGGACCAATCCAAGTCGAGTAACGCATCCAAACTTTGCTCAGGGTCAACACCAGAATCTCGCTTCATCAGTATATGGCAATGCCCTACTTCACAGCCTCCTGACGCAACCCGGTAGTAGCACGGCTCAGGCACCACACCTTCAACCACAGGGCCCGCTACCGGTACATCAGCCACTCAACAGAGCAGGTCGTTTTGGGAATCCGACGCTGGAATTATTTGCCAGAGGTATTCTACCGCCTGACAATCCACTGCAGCTTGCTATGAATAATCCAAATGCTGGTGGCTACACCGCGAGAAGAAGTCAGGCATTGCAGCAAGCCCAAGGAGGCATGGTGAGATACAATCACGAGAATAGTGCTACGGCCACAAATAATATTCTCCGCGCTGCCCAGCTCAATGCTCTTCTCAGGACGAATGGGCCCCCACCAGTTGGCTCGGCAGCTGTCGACGCACCAATTGGCTTTGCGCGTGCATTGGCTTCGTTAAGCGATGCTACCCTAACGCAGGAATTGGACAATAGAGCAAGGATAGCTCGTGCCACAGGGCAACATCCGTCCTTGTCCGTGGCATCAATTTCTTCAAGCTATGCTCAGCCACCGGCAAGGCGGGAACCTGAGAGACAATCCAATCTGAATCGACAGCATGATGACGCAGAAGAAGGAAAACACGATTCCTCATTCGAGCGTCCTACAAAGCGCTCACGAGGCCCCCCATGAATTCTCCCTCTTGTCATGTCAATAGCTAGCGGATTGCTGCCTCGTAATTGTGTCGGGGGCACCAAACTGCTGATCAAGAGAGGATCATGCTCTCCATCAGATCTGATTCGACAGTTGATCAGGTTCGTGAACCAATGAGTGGACACTGATATTATTTGTGCTCCTCCGCCGCTGGCGGAAGAAGAGAGTTATGCTTCATTGGATATGTCAGTGGACGTAAAAAGGGAGATGACATTGTGGTTGCACTGATGGCGGGTTGTTTGCCAGTCTCTCATCTCTCGCTCTGGCCAATGCTGTGAGAGTGGAAAGCAAGGGACCATCAATGCATCAATGGAACCTTTAGAGCTAGCTAGCTAATAAGAAACGCAGTTTTGTAGGGATACTTCTCTGATCACACTCGCCCACTTCGACGGATACGAGATACGAGAATTGAGGCTGCTGCACATTATTCTCCCCTACTCCCCTTCTACTCTTCGCTGGTGGTGTGGAGCCTGTTCTCCAGACAACCCTGGGGAACTCTTGGAGGGCCTTCCAAAATCAGCTTCTCCATGGAGCCCACCATCTAAGACGTGTCACACTAAAACCCAGATACGGCATGTCCGTCGTCGGGTTGGTCATAAATCGAAGTACCCCGCTTATATAACATGGCTGGAATCAGCATTAGAAGCGCTTTCCAGTGGTGTGCTATTCGTTATATCTCGCCGTACAGGAAGAACACCGTAGAGCACTGAAACTAAATCTTTCCCACTGTAGCACTCGGTACAAACTCTACGTGAATTTAAAGCTAAGGATAAACTTTAATTCTCCAAAGTCATTCGTGCCCTCCGGACCATGACAGACGGTGCCGTCTGGAAAATAATGTGACACGTCTTATCTTTGAAGCACCGTGAGAGGTCCATGCATACGAAACATGTGTACCCTTCCCTAAAGTGTGAAAATTACCCCCTCGAACGCACCTTCGCGGTTGTCGTGAAGATTTAACGACCGGCACTGGAAAAATCCTAGCTACGCACGAACCAAAAAACAAGTTTCGACAATACAGCAACGTTATATTACTTTAGATTTTCAATACCAAATAAATCATGGCGGTTTTGTGCTTGCGTTCATTTCGTGGATAAAGAAAGCTGGAAACGAAAGAGATGCACAATGGCGGGATGGATCTGCTGCCGACAGATAACAGGGAGTGTTTTGCCATCGTTTAACCGTGTTCCTCTACTTGCGCCTAGCGAAAGACTTGAGGGGAGTCATGGCTTGGGATAGTTCAGGCTCAACCTCGAAGGATGCTTGGCGTTTTGGGTGGCGGAGCACGTCGGTTTCGTCCACGGCGGACAGATGCTGGAACGGGTGGCGCAACAGCGGCTGAGGCAACAGAAGCAGTGGATGAGGCAGAAGCACCAGTGGTTGAGGCACCAGTGGAAGGCTCAAGCATGTGTGCCTTCCGCCCAAAGAATCGAAAGCTGACAATGTGTTTCTTTTTGGTTGTGAGAATGAGAGTCTCGTCAGACAGTTCGATCACTTTGTCTACACTTGCTTGCGTGATCCTTCAGGTACTGCACAAGCTCCCTGAACTTGCTCTCGGGGAAGACTACTTCACAGCAGAAGGTTACCGTCATTCTCGAGTCTTGATACTTTCCGGTTTCAATTGCATGATCAATGGCTTTGTAGAGCCTGCCAATGTCTCGGTCAGAAGGGAGAGTGAAGCTCGACTCAGCCTCGGCTGAGACAAGGATGTGCATCCTGCTAGTGCTGAATTGAGAAGCCATGTTGGCAAGGATACAGATTGTGAAGAAAGGACGAACATGAACTGAAGGGAGATTGATCGTTTGGCGCCAAACTTTCCCATCCAAAACCACGAACTTTCCTCTCATTTGAATCTCTTTCGATTTGAATCGGCCGCGAAGCCCATTTAAATTGGCCGTGAAGCCCATCACTCTCTCACAATCTATCAAAACAAGCAAATCAATGCCAAACATGTGGTCCATCGTTGCCGACCTTGCTGGGGGGGAAGCGGAGTCCAATGCCGTGGTGGAGTATTCTGTCGGATCTGGCGATGGCGCTGTGGTTGGTTCGTTGTGCCTCCAACGATTCGGAAGTGAGGCTCTCTTTCGGCTTGTTGTTTACGGATCGGAGAGTCAAATCATTGCTGTTTTTGGACTTCCTGTTGACTCTGTTTGGGTGTTGGCTCGCCCTTGGAAGAAAGTGAGAAGCGCAAACGCAACGAGAGCAGTCAAGGTGGAGTGCACGTTCAATTCGGAGATGGAGGCAACCAAGTCCCTCACTATTAGGATGCCCTACAGTGACGACTCTATGCGCTTTGCCCAAGCCTTTCTCTGGGCTGAGCAATGCGTCCGTGCATCTTTGCATAAGGACGAGTCCCAAGAGTAGATACGAGCAGACATTGCCAGTATTTGGTAGACAGTAGTAACAGCCTTTATAGTCAAAATGGAATCAACAGAAGAAGAGTACGATGATACAGGAGAACAAATCGTTGCTGAATCAACTCTAGCATTGTTCCAACAACTGTTGGTCCGATTGAAAAGCAGGCGATGGTTTGTAGTGCCAACGTCAAATGATTTGGCATTGGCTAACAATAGTATTACTACAGTGCTCTCGTTAGATTTCCTCACCATCTACCACATGCTGCTTGCCACTGCTATTGTTGTCGAGAAGAGTGATGCCGATGGAACTGTCCAAACAGAAGTGTGCAACGAAGAATCCATCACCGCGCTCAACCAACGATTCAAGAGGCCCAAGCTTCAATTCCGAACAATGGAGATGTCGCTGCTAGGCAGCACTGAGCCACGTCGATTGTTGTTTGTAATCCGAAATAAACCACGGGCGACAGAGATGCATCCGTCCATTAACTTCCCTGGCAGCAAAGTGCACGATGGTGGAGGCAATCGAATTCGACGTCCAGTGCACACGAGATCACCCATTCATTACATAACAAAAGGAGCGGCGACAAGCTAAAAGATACGCAAGATTAGAGATGCAATCAGCAAATGGAAGGGCGCTTACAACACATCATCAGATCAAGAAAATCAAACTAGTAACACAACTACACCAAGCTCCAGAGGCAGCAACAATTCCGACTCGGCAAAGCGAGCCAGAGCAGCAATGACGCCAAGTGCAACACCGCATTCAAATCCAAGAAGACGAATATCATTCAGCCACGCAGTTGTTATCCCAAGAACAAGGACGACACCGAACACCCATGGGCAAGTAGAAGAGCTCGAAACCATCTTGCAACACGAGGAGCCTTCGCTAACTCTATTCAATCACGACGGAGATGAAAGCGACACAGCACACCAAGCCAACAACACAACGGAGCAACCAACAGAACAGGACGAACAATCAGAACAATCCAACGATAGTATTTACCTTCATTCCAACCATTTCAACCTCTCGACGTACGAGGAACTGCTGTCTCCGCACAACTGGAAAGAGCCACCCGAAATGACGTTGGCAAAGGGACTCGACTTCAGTTTGCGTGTGGATGGCAAACGACCTTCGCGGTTTGGTGACGGCTATCTTGAGCTTGTCAAAAGGAAGAGACCTGATGATTCAATGAGGTGGATCATCCTCTGCATCGCAAGATCGTGGGGGTATGCCATTCCCGGACTGGAGAAGAAGAAAAAGCTTTCCATTGCCGACGCAGCTTGTAGGATTGTTGCTTATGATGCTGGTTTCAGCAAGCCTCCCAAAGGGCACCGATTGAAGTATTGGAACAAGCAGTTTGAGACATCGCTCAAGACAGGAAAGATTGTGCTGCAGGATGCTTTGACTTTTTTTGAAGGCAACCATCGTGGGTCTTATCTGTCAAGCTTTGAGCAACCATATCCGGGATACGTATTGTCTCTCTTTCGTCGTGCTCAAAAGCAAGAAGAAGTCGGTGATGAGGCTTCGTATCAGGAAATTGCCGAAAGGATGGTGGAGCTGTCGAAGTTGGAACAAGATGAAGCCAAGCATTTCAAAAGCCTATCCGAATTTCAGCTCAGGAGTTGGTTCGGTTCGAAGAATGGCAAAGCAAAGGCGTCTGTAACCAGACCAATTCTCACAGAGGAAAAGAAGAGGCAACGTGTTAGATGGGTGCAAGATCGACTTACAGAATTGGAGCAGCATTATGTGGAGGGCTTAGCCATTCGGATGGCGCAAACATCCGATTCCGACGACGGTTCTGCCACCGAGGAACAAGACACCTCTCGAGAGCCCCACTCCGGTCCACCGTATTATTGCTTTCTTGATGAAAAGTGGTTTTACATGGTGTCAAAAAGAAGAAAGAGAAAGATTTTGCCAAAGCAACCTGGTGAGCAACTCAGTACAGACGATCTTTATCCCCCTCGGCGTGTTTCAAGCCGACGATTCACCAAGAAAGTAATGTTCATGGGAGTGATTGCTTGTCCCCACACAGACGAAGGGTTTAATGGAAAGATAATGCTGAAACGAGTGAGTGCAACAAAAACCAGCCAACGAGCAACTTACTTCAAGCACATTGTTGACAACTACACGACAAACAAAGAAATCACGACAAATGGAAAGATCTCCATCTTCCCACGATGAAAGTCAAAGATCTTCTCGATGCGATCCAAGCTGTTGCTCATTGGGAGATTGATCAAGAAACATTAGACCGTCTTGTACTGCGATACCCTTCATACACCGCTGCCGGCAAGAAAAAGTGGACCACGATGACCGAAGAAGAAATTGTTGAGCTGGGAAAATTGATTCAACCAAAAGCAACAAGCCAAGCAAAAGTCCCACTGACACTCAAACACATTACCCTTTCATTCGTTCGCAGAAAAGGCGACGAGTTTGAGCAGGATGTTACCTGTGATTCCAAATTCATGACCGAGCACATGTTAGAGATTGGAAAAGCAATCCGCGACAGCCATCAGTGGGTCCCACCACAACAAGAAATTTGCTTGATCATGGACAATGCAGGGGGTCATGGTACAAGAGATTGTATCGATGAGTACGTCCAGAAACTCAAGGAGCAATACAACGTAAGAGTGATCTGGCAAGTGGCGAGGAGTCCAGAGACAAACCTGCTCGATCTTGGTGTATGGATGGGTCTCCAAAACTGGGTTGAAAAGCTCCACCGTCGACGTACAAAAACCAGCGCGGATGCGTTGTCAAGAACTGTAACGGAGGCTTGGGAAAGCTATGATTCAAATCGAAGCTTTCGAAACATATTCAAGCGATGGGACAAGGTGCTTCGACTCATTCTTGTGGGCAACGGAGACAACAACTTGGTGGACAAAGCGCGAAAGAATGTCATGGTCCCAATCGTAATTCAGCCGCAACAAGGTACAATGCCTTCCAATGAAGACGCAGCAGCTCTAGACGATGATGAGTGCCTATTTGTAGAAGAAGAGCCGGTAGTTCGGGAGCTGGAAGAGGCTGATGTTGATGAATGAGCCGCTGTTTTGGCCATCATCGTGTTGTTGTTGTTGCTAGTGGTTGCTGCTGTTGCTGTCGACAGAAAGTGTCAATGTGACTGCTAGATTTAGAGGTTAATACCGTATTCTAATGTCAAAACTTGTTATGAGTCTTGGGGAACGACGCTAAGTCTTTTTCACGGGGTAAATTTCACATTTTAGGGAAGGGTACGGTACTGCATCGTCCCGCGGTAACAATCAAGGCGGTGGGAATTTAGGATCAAAATTTATTTTATCTTTGTGAAAACGGAATAAACACAAAGTCTGTGAAATCATCAAATCCCGCATATTTTCAACAAAATATTTTTGGACTGCTGGTAGCTAAAACCACCAGTTTGAATCTTACATTTCTTTCTTATTTGGCAGGGAAAAATTCCTGGACCGTGGCAAATCCGTCAGACTTCAAGGAAAAGGGGCCTCACCTATGCATGTCTGAGAGCTAGCCCTCCTATTGATCGATAAGGTCTCTCTCTAATGAAATGGGTAGGTCCTCTACTATATCTAACTAATTGAATTACTAGCTAGTAGTACGGACTATTGTATCGTACGACCAAGCAATTAAGGTGCCCGTGCGTACGGTACAGGAAATGGGTTCCGGTACCGGTACCGGTACGGACACAGGAATCACCAAACAAACACTATGTAGCTAGAGGAAGCAACAAGAAGCGATGAATCCAATAGGAGGATTAAATTTCCTCTGCGCGTTGTCGTCCTCTTCTACCATGCGAGGATTCCAGCCACTCGTTGTTCAATCGATTCGATTCAACATCCACTGTTGTTCGTCAAGCTTGGGTTTCTCTCCTGTGTACCATAGGAATTCAACGAGGGAGAGAAGTCAGTGATGCATCCTCAATAATACAGTACATGCTGGTCAATGTTAACACTTGCATTGAAAGCCAGTCCAGGCACTAAGATAGAGTCATACGTGGGGGGTGGGGCAACTTTTGGACTTTTGGACATTTGTTCAAATAATGCGTAACTATGCTTGATTAAACGTAATAATACGTATCTGACGTATGCATACTGAAATGCAAGTTAAACTACATGTTTTATATGACAGGGGGTAGAGAGCACTACATACAGCCTGTGCATATGAACAGAGAGGATGCCCGCAGATTGAGAGCAAGGCCAGCCATTTTTTTGGCCTGAATTCAAAAACGTCCAATTTCCTGTGCAATCGAACAGGATAGCGACGCCTGTTCAATTGCACAGGAAATGGACGGCCTGCCTGTTCATATGTACAGGAGGCTGTACATACCAGGAGCTCGACGTCCTGTTCAAATGCACAGGAATTGTGACGTTTTTTCTGGGTAGGCTTTTACAGTAACACATAGATCTGCCATTACGTTCAGCATTACAGTCAAGCATGTCCTCTGCAAAGAATAGATGGTTGCAACTTCCTGTGTTTTCCTCTTCTCAGATAATGAAAAAGAAATCAGGAGAAACGAAGTCCAAATCTCTCAGTGACAAACCCAAAGCCACAAGCCACAAATGAATGCAAGTTCCAGATATTTTCTGTGGTAGTAGTGGTGGTAGTAGTAGTGAAAGGATCAGTTGTTCTTGTTCTTATGCTTAAGCTCCTGGACCGTCCAACGGTTTTCACTCAGGATTTAAAAAGCTTCCACGACTGACAAAAACTTGACCAGCACAATTAAGGGATTGTTTCTTTTAAGGGATTGTTTAAGGGATAGTCAAAGATTTAAGGGATTGTTGTTAAGGGATTGTTTATTTAAGGGATTGTTTAGGGGATAGTTGAAGAAATAGGGGATAGTTGTATGGTATGTCCATTTGGCGTTAAGGGATTGTTTAGGGGATAGTCCAAGATTTAAGGGATTGTTTTAAGGGATTGTTTCCTTAAGGGATTGTTTAAGGGATAGTTGATGAGTTAAGGGATTGTTTAGGGATTGTTTTAAACGGTCATTCAGTCGTGGCAATTTCAAGATTTTTTAAATCCTGTGTGAAAACCGTCGGACGGTCCAGTCCTTTGTTATCTCATACGCCATACCCTGTTAAGGTAGCTACTAGTGACAGTACCGGTGCACATCACATCGGTACATAGACATTCTCACCTCGTACCGGTACTCATCCATAAAGCTTACAGGTTCTGTACATGTAGTATAGTGATCGTTCGTCGTCGTCCGTGTCTATTTGTGTAAGCGTCGCTGGGGTGCACTTTCAAATACGGAGGAATGTGAAGCCTGTTTGAATTTTTACTGTCCATAGACAGTACGACTTATGCATGCTGCAGCGAACTGGTACATCGTATTGTACTCTCCAAATCATACTTCGTCTCTTAGCGATTAATTGGCAGTTTCAGAGCATTCCCAGAAATTCAGAGTCACTTTTTCTAAACCTCGATCGAAGACTGCCGCGAAATCAGAAATAGGGGGTTTCCATCTGGTAGAAGGAGGTGTTATTGTAGCTGTTGATGTACTCGAGTAGTGTCTATGCAAACGAAACCTGCCCTTCAATTCTAGTACAAATCCTTGAATGCAGAACGGTATCAACGAAGGCTTTGGTGGTAAGTGGAGGAAGCGGTTGCTTTATTTTGAACGAGTGGCTCCCAATATATTAACTTGCTTTTGTGCTTGGTGCCAACTAATTCTTTCAGGTTCTACCGCAGGGTCCAACAACGTCGCGGGGGGCAACTACTCTGGCACTTGGACCAAGGAAGAAGAGGTGTACGCATTGGGAATCGTTGCAGAGTTCACAGCCGGTAACATACCGGGTGTCCAGCGGGGTGCTACTCTGCGAAAATACATTGCCTCCGAGCTAGGTTGCGGTTTTAAACGAGTCTCTAAGAAATTTGAAGGGACTGGATTGAATAGCAGAAAAAAAATACATCCCCAATGAGGCCAATCTTTCTCTTGAGGAGTCTCAAAGGAGGATTGATAGACTGGCTGCCCTCAAGATTAATTTTTTGAGGAGCCGCCAGCGTGTACTTGAGTTTCGTCAGATGAGGCCCAAACGATTGGGACTCGTCACGGTTTGGGAGACGAATTACTCCTCACAACAAATCCCAACATATGTACCTCTCCCGCCAACCGCGGCAGGTGCATCCAGTATTCGGAATGACATCACTGCAGCAGCAAGTGGTTCCACTCAGGGAGGCCTCACGAATACCATGCTCGAGAGCGGCCTTTCCCTCGAAGCGTCGCCATCCAACCATGCTCATCTGCAGCAGCTTGCCACTGCTTCTGGCTTGGGTGGAATTCCAGAGTCCCTGGCACTGTCCCTAGCTTCAGTTCCAACCATACCCCAGCAGACCAGATGGCTGGCACTCCTCATTTGCCGGGGTTGCCAGTTCCCCAGCAAAGATCGGATCCCCCCGTTTACAATCCCTTGCTGGCTGTTCAGCCAGGCTCCACTACAGCGTCGACGACCTACGCGGCTCCAACCGCGATCAGGACCCTGGCTCCACAATTCCCGGCCCAACTGGGCGAGTCTCTTGCACCCCCCTTGCCGAGGAATCCAAGTACCAATCACAACACAACTGCCAGGGCAGAGCTGAACACAAACAGAGCACCCCTTCTCTCCCAACAAGAATGGCAGCAACTTGTAAACAATTTGGCAAGAAATCCTGCAACCAATGGTCCTACTGGAGTACATGACCCTCCTACCCGGACAGACCCAAACACAAACAGCGCACCCCTTCTGTCCCAACAAGAATTGCAGCAAGTCGTGAACGATTTGGCGAGTAATCCTCCACCCCTTCTGTCCCAACAAGAATGGCAAATCGTAAAAGATTTGGCAAGCAATCCTGCAAGCAATGGTCCTACTGGAGTCCACGACCTGCCTACCGGGACAGACCTGAACACAACCAGAGCACCCTTTCTTTCGAAACAAGAATGGCAACAACTTGTACACAATTTGGCAAGTAATCCTGCAACCAATGGTCCTACATTGGTCCATGACCCTCCTACCAGGACAGACTTGAATGCAAACAGGGCACCCCTTCTGTCCCAACAAGACTTGCATCAACTCGTAAACAATTTGGCAAGCAATCCTCCACCCCTTCTGTCCCAACAAGAATGGCAACTCATAAACAAGTTGGCAAGTAATCCTGCAACCAATGGTCATACCGGTACTGGAGTCCAGGATCCTACTACCAGGGCAGACCTGGATGCAAACAGAGCACCCCTTCTGTCTCAACAAGAATGGCAACAACTGGTACACAAGTTGGCAAGCAATCCTGCAACCAATGGTCCTACTGGGGTTCAGGATCCTCCTACCAGGACAGAGCTGAAGACAAACAGCGCACCCCTTTTGTCCCAACAAGAATGGCAGCAACTCGTAAACAATTCGGCAAGTAATAATGCATCCAATGGTCCTATTGGGATCCTGGATCCTCCTGCCAGGAAAGACCTGGACACAAACAGAGGGATCCAGGATCCTCCTACCGGGACAGGCCTGGACACAAACAGAGCACCCCTTCTGTCCCAGCAAGAATGGCAGCAACTCACAAACAATTTGGCAAGAAATGCTGCATCCAATGGTCCTGTTGGGGTCCAGGACCCTCCTGCGAGGACTGGCCTGAACACAAACGGAGCACCCCTCCTGTCTCAACAACAACAACAAGAGCAACTCACAAACAACCTGGCAAGTGTTCCTGCAACCAACGGTCCTACCACTCCTGGAAGGACAAGTGCCGCTGCAGCTGCTAGGGTCCACGATCCTCCTGCATTATTTGAAGGCCACCCCTATTTGTTGCAAGCAAAAAGACCCGCAACTGACAGTACAGAGGGGAATGCAAGAAACGGCGAGGCTCCTTCTCAATGTAATGAAGACCTGATTGATTCTGTCATGTCATTCCCTCAAGTGGTTCGTAGTGCAAGTAGGACAGACTTGTTTGAGCGCCCTTCCAAGCAACCCAAAACAGGAAGATGGTGAAGTGGAGATGTGTATCCTTTTCTGGGGGCTGGCTGTTTGCATTGATCATTAAATGTTGGTCCAAGCAGAGCCCCAGTGCTTACTATTTATTATCAAAAGCGACTTTTCCAAGCGGGACCGAAACCAAGTGGAGCCCCGCCACTGGATCTGTCACTACAAAACACAGATTACTAACCAAACCAACAAAAGCATAAACTAACATCATCTCTGTATCAAGCTCATTGGGCTGAGAGCTTGTTGTGTGTATCCTTGGATCCTTCTAACTCCGTCTGGTTGTGGAGATAGGTTGGTTCGAGTGGATTTGTCTTAGAGAATTCGTGTACACAGTGGAGAAGTATTTGCTTGCCCGATCTTCACTGTTTTGAATGAGGGAGAGCTGGTGCTTCTGTACTGCGTGTGTTGATTCTTGTGTACGATCGTACAGGAGGTACTGTGTAGTAGTCGTGATTGGTCGTTGGAAGAATGAGATGTTGTTGCCTGCCCGTGGTGGTACTCTGCAATGAGGGATGGCGCCAAATTCTTGTTCTTGCAACTCGAGTTCACCGAATATCCTTGTTGCGTAGCAGGAAGATAGTTTCTACCGATTCACTGTGTGTGGTGAGTAGTGTAGATACTGAGTTCTTGCTTGGCAATCGGGAAATCGAAAGGTGCTTCTATCGGAATCAGTCAGCCGATAGAGGTACGGATGTACGACTCGGTCGGTTGGCTGGCTTCGCGTGGGAGTGGACTAGGACGTTGTTCTTGTTGTCGAGAATGGACTGAGCAGAAAGTATTTGCTATGGCTGAGCAAAGGATTATCAGCTCGATTTCTTCTGAGCAAACAGAATGAATTCCTTGTCTTTCGATTCGGTCGTTCGTCTTGGAATGCCTGCGAAGATGCTCTTTGCGACTGACAGATGCAGTTCCTATTCTATTCCTATGGACAGGTGATAGATCGGGGACTATTTCTTGTAGTGGCAAACAGCGTCTCGGTGGCGAAACAAGACAACTCGATACTTCGAATTTTCCTGTTGGTGTTTTGTGATTTGTTGTTGGGTGATTGGCGTTTTGGATAATGACTCCTCTGTAGAAACAGTACCAGGTATACGTGGGATGACTGGAATTCTCTGGAATGGCAATCACTGATTCGCGCATGACTTGTAGGGATGTTTGTGGGATGTAACTTTTTGAATATAGCTCTGATTGATTACTTCCAAGCACAATATGCTTGTCTTG